CCAATTCTTTCCATATATCACCTTAAGGTACGTTTCTGTAGTGCTGAACGACTCATCTTGGAATCTGTTACAAAGCGAACATCCAACTATGGTTTTGAATGTCTTAAAGATTATTGTTGCTGTATCGTAAATTCCTTTAGAAGCATCTTTATGTCGAACTATCGAACATGTCTTGCCTAAACATTTTGAATAATTAATAGCGTTTGGATCAAACGGGCAGAGACCATAAGCCTTGAAACCATTAACCAATATATCTGGTCTATAACTTGCTGCAAGGACTTCTTTTAATCCTAAAAAGCGCAAAATTTTGCTTGATTATCCCTTTACTTTGATTTAATAATGGCCATTTCTTTAGTTACTTCTTTCAGCCTACTTTTAGGGGTCTAAATGCAAAGACATCAGCTGGCTGAATAATCCTCATCGCGTTGGGATACAGTGCAATTAATTCAATTTTGAGATGTGTACATAATTGGGAATTCGACGGATTTGGAACCTAAATATGGGTGAAAAACGTTGGCAATAAACTCATAAAATACTTCAGCAGTCATCCAGCCATTTTCTGATTTTCCAATTCCCCATTCTTCCGCTAAAGACTCGCTTAGTAGTCTGGTAGTCTTTGATAGGGATATACATTAAATGGGCAACGTATGTCACCTACTGCCGAGAACGTGAATAAAGCTGTTATTGATTCTTTCGCATTTGAGTGTTCAATGTTATAAACATTTTTTGAACCTTTCGCTGCTACAACTAGTCCTGTGCTCTGTCAAATTTAAAAGTTGGTCTCGTCTGCATTAAAAACTCTATTGGGTTGATTGAGAATCTCGCTTATCCTTTTTCCTAAGCGTACTGACGTATTTCGTCAAACCAACCTCATATGTCTTTTCCTGACACACATGAACTCGCTTTTGGCACTCCTTCTGAAGTTCTGATACTAAGTCTAGGGTGTCTCTTTAAAAAAGCCTTCCACGATCCAATACCAGGCCGATTATTAAGGAATGGGTTGGGTCGTGGGTTGTCGATGAGAAACTTTTGAACGCTATCGAAAATGTTATCTTTATTTTTCGGAAAACCTTTACGTGCTGAAGATATAATCCAATCTACGAGAGTAGCTTCTTCTTTTAAAGTCGAGATAGGCGATGGTCCGAAACTCGTTTTGTGGTCTGGGTTACGTTTGTAAAATCTGAGTCCTTGGGACGCCATACTTTTGGGGTATCTGGCGATCTAACAATCTTTTTTCATTGTTTTGTAATTCAGCTATCGCTTCTTTGAGATTTTCTGGCGTAAAGGTATTTCAATTTAAGAGTCTTTGGCATTCTGCAAGTAAAACGAAAACTTTAAAAACCCGTTTTGAAACAGATATTGCCCTGTCAATAAATGTAATTACTGTCAATGACAATCACTAAATATTGATATGGCAATAACTAAAATTTTTAAAATTCAGGTACAGTTATGTTTAACCCCCGCAATTCATATCCACAATATTTTTAATAATACGCGGTTAAAAATACAATAGAAAACCCTTTTATCACAAAATGTGAACAAGCGACATGAAATTAGAAATGTGGTCCTTAAGAAAATCACAGGAAACTTACTTTTTTGATGAGACGCACACCTGATGTAATAAAATCCGCCATGAAAGTGATGTTATTTTAAATGTTACCAGTTTATTAATACTAAATGTTACCACGATTACTATAACGTCATCTAGCGAAGATAATTTGAATTATAAGCGCACATAGAAACATATAAATGTGGCTACTTCTTATTGATATCAATTACTATAAGCTGGGCAATCACTGTATCGGTTACCCTATATCAAAATTGATACGACTTCGGTACTCGATACGATTAAAATATCGACGATAAATAGCGATAACGTGAGAAAATATCGATATTGCTATATTTTTACCCAAGCTCAACCCCGATATATGTTAAAGTTGGATGATCTTAGATTAATTACATACATACGTATGCATAGATAGAACCTACAATTCTACATAAATCGAGTCAATATACTTGTCTCACTTTGGCTTAGTTTTCCATTGACGTCAGTCGAGTTTGGTGTTGATACGTATTTTTACAGAAAAGTTACACTATTATAAGCACACACACAAAGTTTCAACATGCGGAAACGCATAATTTTTGAGAAAAGAATTATTGAAAATCAATTATTCTTGCAATGTTTATGTCTAATCCTACCATAAAACTGGCGCCATTTTGTAATGTCATTGTCGACGTCAATAGGGATGTCGATTCTTTCCGAAAAAGGTCGATTTTTAAATCACATAAAATCGATTTCTAAAATATCTATATTTTTTTAATGTTTCTATTTATAATGTAAATATAAACCCATTTTATGAAAAACAAGAAAGATACCATGATAAATGATCTCTTATTGAAATTTGTTTTATTTAACAGTACCTATTAGGGCAGATAACAAATAAAATAGGTTAGGTTCAACTTATGTCAAAGAACCGAATTGATTGACCCCGACTCCACCTGGTACGAGTCTGTCCTACCCCTAGAGTGGTTTTATAGAGCCGGAGGCGCGTAGGGGGAGCAGCCTCCGCCTGCTGTAACAAATCGTAGGCATCGGACGAGCCGGAGCTCCGGCTAAGGCTGGTTGCCGAAGGCGACCAACAAGCCGAAGCTGCGGAGGCGAGGAGGGATGTCTGCGATTTGTTACGCTAAGGCGTAGAGGCTGCTTTTCCCGCAGCGCTGGAGACGTAGCAGTCTCAAAATAGATACAGAAATCCTTCTGAATCAGTCCCCTTATTTTTTTATGATGAAGGGGATTTTTTTCTCATAAAATGGATTTATATTTACATTATAAATGCAAACATGAAAAAAAATCGATATTTTAGAAATAGATCTATTTAAAAAATCGATCTTTTTCGGAAAGAATCGACATCCCTACTGACAATAATAATAAAAATGGCGTAAGTTTCACGGTAGGAATTGACTAAATATTGCAAAATTATTTTATTTACAATATTTTTTTCTCAATAAGTACGTGTTTCCGCATATTGAAACTTTGTGTGTGTGCTTATAAAAATGTAATCTTTCTGTAAAAATACGTATCAACACCAAACTCGACTGACGTCAATGGAAAATCTTTCCGTCACTTTTTCTAATTTAATGTTCAAATAAGGCAAAAGAGACAATCTATTTAAAGATGTTACATGTAATTCATGCGTTGAAAAAGAAATGTCAAATGGTCATCTTTGGTCTTTTTATACTTTGGCACAGGGGAATGCCTGTGTGTGGCTACTCCCTAGCACTTCTTATTAGCTTGTGGCTATTCCCGTCCGGTACGTCGACGGCCCGTACTTCTTATACTCTTTGGCGGCCCGTGTTCCTTTGTGTTGCGATTAATGATTTCAATTTTCAACTTCCGCTTTATAAAAAGTATACTCCATAGAGAAAATGGTATACTCTGTGTCAACTCTGTGTTTTCAATCAACTTTAAAAAATAGAAATAATCGCTATGTACGATGGTTTTGGCGGGAACTTGACCGGCGGCGGCTAGCTGCTCTTGTATTATTGTTTAAAATAATAGTTTGAAGTGGATTTTGTTATTTAAAAGTAGTGCGATTTTGTGTACTAAGTGTTTGCGCATGTGAACTATTGGAACGAAGGTGAAAACGGTGAAACCAAGTGCCCTGATGATGATGTGATTCTCAAGGCAAGGTGTCTGTCTGCTTACGCGCCTTGAGATACCATCGCCAACTGTCAGCCAGCTGTCTGCTGCTGTGTAATATATGTGTACATAAAGCCGCGTATTCACCAAAAATGTTAACAACATTTATGTTTCAAACAAGCGTCTCCACCGAGGGAACAAATGTTTGCAACAAGCGTATGCCTTTGATGTTGCCGCCGAAAATGGAAACACGGTTGGCGACATTGTTTCAAGTTTTGCTGCCAACTGTTGTGTTGACAACAAAACTTTGGTGGAGACAGGAGACGCGGCTTTATAAAGGATAAATTTGTATACTGTAAATGTATGTATACATACTTTTAAGCCCGCTTTTCACTGTGGGATATAATATAATATATATATTACATCTCGAGATATAAATTAATATCGCTCACCATACATTTCATATGGAACCGTTTACATTGAGCTATAATATATATTACATCTCAAGCTATAAATATTTTTTCGATCGACCGAGCGATATTTTCATATTATATTTCGCCCCCTGTACTCCACACACCGTTCCGCGACCCCGCAGAACGGTGTACGGTGTAAAGGGGGGTAATCTAATGATAATGACCATTGACGAACGCACACTGGTTAAGAGATATACAGTGTGAAAATCAATCGCGGGAAATAATTTATATTACGGGATCATAGATTAATAATAGGTCATCGCGCGCTCTGACTGACTGTCTGAGCGCGCGAAGACCTATCATTAATCTAAGTTCGGGATATAATATATATTATATCTCATAGTGAAAAGCCAGCCTTATTGTAAAGTTGTTATCTATGGCTATGGTTGTTATGAAAATTTGTCATACTTTTATTGTAAAGTTGTGAAGTATAGAATATAGTATGTTCATAATAAAAGTATACCTAATTTAAAATAAATCATATATTTACGTTTTATGTTCTTGTATTAAAAATGACTTTTTCGGAATATTCACAACTTAAACAACAAATAGTAATAAGTGTAGGACATAATGATAAACACAGTCAAATATTAAGTGCACTGAAAGAGTATTACAGAGACGAAATTGATTCACCTCGAAGATATGAACAAATTAACACTATAGGCCAATTAATAAGAGTATTAGAAATTAGAGATGTGTTGTCCCAAGATAATGTTGCGGCCTTAAAAGAAGTAGCCTCCAGACTTCCAAATAACAGTGAACTGTTACGCAAAATCAGTGATTACGAATCATCTCACATACCAAGTGGATACATAAATCAATATGGTATTCCTAAACCGTATACTTTTCACTTTGTTACTATTTTCTATACTCAATTTAAAATTTCTATGACAAATTTTCCTTCTACACAAAAGAATATACATTCCATTTGAATGAATTGTATATTATTTAGTTATTCATTAATAGGTATTATATATTTTTTTCATATTGCAAAAATCGTGTTTCAGATATTGATAGACAACAAAATATTTCTATGAAAGAACAAAAAGAAATCCTTAATGACCATACATGTGGAATAATAAGTCCGAAGAAAAAGGAGAGAATAAATGAAACAATTGTAGAAGAAATTGGCGCTTTCTGGCGAGACCTGGCTAGAAATCTCAAAATTAGAGAATGTGTGATTGATGAAATTGATAATGATAATAAGAAATTGTGTGAGAAAGCTTCAAAAATTTTAACAATTTATGAACACAGAGCTGATCCCCAGCGATGGTTTTTTGTTTTATGTGATGCTCTGGAAAAAAGTCGAAGAAAGGACATAAGCAGATCATTACAAGATATTATGTCTATGAGGATTTAATCTTATATAATGTAAATATATTTCAAGTAGGGTTAGAACAATATTAAAATTTCATACTACATAACAACTGTATACCAAGTGCAACTAGCATTATTATGTGAATGTACTGCAGTTCAGTATGTGTAGTTATTTAGGTGCCTTTTTACATTATTGCATTTAAAGATTATTTTATACATAGCTTTTATTAATAATTGGATTTTACCTACAACTAGCAATCCTATGAGCACCCTTACCCCTAATTAACGGATGAATAGGGCTCTTAACTGACTGACCTATCATGGATAGTGGAAATTACATTCTAAAATACCATACCCAAATCCCACAGACTGACAGCTGCTTTGCAGCTTTATTAGCAGAGCCTGCATGGAATATGAGGAAACACATGTTCTACTTGATTGTCCAGCAGTTGCCAGCTTATGTAGCTAAAGCTAGCTGTTAGCTAAAGAAATGGAAGAAATATTTTAAGTGTAAGAAGTCTGAAATAAATGAAACGAAACTCTTTAAGAAAGTAATGAAATATTGAATAAGTATGGATGAAATAATGAAAAGCATGAAAGAAGGTAAGGCAACTGGGTATGATAAATTATTATATTAATTAATACTGCTTTATAAAATAATAAACAATAAAATAAACCTTTATTATTTTCTCCAACAAATTGTACATTGCATATTTTATCTTTTAAAAACATATATATTTTTTTATAAACAAAAGAAAGATTACATAAATTTGTAGGAGACGGGACTCCAAACTAGAATACCCTGTGCTATGGATCTCTTGGCTCCCCATTTAGGATGATCAACTAGATTTTTTCTTTTTTTTTTATTATATATAGCAGGGACATTTTTTTCTGTTTGTGAGAGAGCATACGCGTAAGCGGTTTAATCTTATTGTTAATGTGTGTGTGTGTGTGCGTGAGTGCGTGTGTGTGTGTTAACTCGTACGTGCTAGGTATGTTAAGATGCGATTTGCAGTAATTGTTCTGTTTTTTCATATATAAGTTTAAGCAGCCAATCTGAAATTTTCTTTTTACATTCAAAGTTTGTTAGGTTAATGATACAGTGTAATTTGTTTGCTTTGTTATATAATCGACTACCTCTAAAACTGAAAAACTTTTGAGCAAAAAAATGTTTTTTGCTCAAATTTTGAACAAAAAATGAACAATTTCACAAATTTCATAATCTCTCCTCGTACCAGAGTTCCTTATCCAACAAATCAATACAACTATGTTTTTTTAAGGATTATTGATAATATGTAAATTTTTCGAACCATTAACCCATTGGCTTTTGCGTACAAGTTCGTAGTCGGATACATCCTAAGTTTTTTCAAGACAATTTTTAATATCATCCTTTGTACCTTTTAACTCTAGTAAAACATCTTTAATGTTTTACTAGAGCCTCCCCATACAGAAATGCCATAGGATAGGATAGATTTACCTTACGATTCATATACAGTTTTAATTGAATTCCGATTTGCGATATGTCTTAAGTTTTTAAATATGTAGATAAGCTTTCTAATTTTTTGAACTAAATAGTTTATATTTTCTTTGAAGATTAGATTCTTGTCTATTATTATGCCGAGGTACTTTATGTTATTTGTATTTTGATACAAGGACATCTACAGTTTGAAATAGAGGTCATATCACATGAATGTGCTATGATTTTAAATTTATTTGTAATACAGGATGAATTTCGGATGGAAAACATTACATATTTGGTTTTATACAGCAAGCCAGTGGCAGACTATATTGAAAACCGTTCTATGCAGTTTTGAAAACTTCTTCCCAAGAGTCACGGTAAAACGAGAGGGTTGTGTCGTCAGCATATGAGATTATTTTACGATTTGGAATGTTTAATTGACAAAGATTGTTTATGTAGCAAAGGAAGAGAGTGGGACCGAGAATACTCCCTTGTGGTACTCCGTAGTCGATTTTTCTTTCATCACTAAAAATCTCTCCTATCCTAACTCTTTGTGAGCAATTTTGTAGGTAATCTTCAAAAATATGTAATTGTACATTTCTAATACCCGTTTTTTCAAGTTTTTCGATCAGTTTAGAAGATGAAATAGTGTCAAAAGCTTTTTGCAGATCAAAAAAAGATTGTGATACATTTTTTATTGGAGTCTAATTTTTGCACAATAAATTCTGTAAAAATATGTATAGCGTCCGTAGTTGATTTACTCTTTCGAAAACCGGATTGATCATTTGAGAGAATTTCATTATCTTCTAAATATTTTATAAATCTAGTGTTTATTATTCTTTCAAGGAGCTTAGATATAGACGGGAGTAACGATATTGGACGATAGTTAGTGATGATGTCCCGCTTTCCGTTTTTAAAAATTGGAATTGTGGTTGATCTTCTTAAAACTGTTGGAAAATACCTTCTTCTAGACGCCTATTAAATCTATGATTAAGTGGGGGATTATAAATTCTCTAAGACATTTTAAAATTTTTTGCGTAATACTATCTCAACCAGCACCACAATCAGTCTTAAGATTAAGAATGAGACGTTCGGTTCTTCTTCACTTGTTTTAAGTAGGACAAAGGACTTACTTTTGACTGTTACAGGATTTATAGTGGTAGGAAGAGGCGGAAGATCTGTTTTAGGCTGGCTTTTCACTATGGGATATAATATATATTATATCCCGAAATATAAATTATTTCCCGCGATTGATTTTCACACTGTGAGATATATCTTTTAAACAGTGTGCGTTCGTCATTGGTCATTGGATTACCCCCCTTTACATCGTACACCGTTCTGCGGGGGCGCGGAACGGTGTGCGGGGTACAGGGGGCGAAATATAATATGAAAATATCGCTCGGTCGATCGAAAAAATATTTATAGCTTGAGATGTAATATATATTATAGCTCAGTGTAAACGGTTCCATATGAAATGTATGGTGAGCGATATTAATTTATATCTCGAGATGTAATATATATTATAATATATCCCATAGTGAAAGCGGGCTTTAGGTTTATTTGACAACTCAGAGCCTATATTTACAAAAAAAGTGTTTATAAAGTTTACGGAACTTAGCGGGTTATTTTCAATCTTGAGAAGTTCAGCTGGTAGCTCTTTTGGTTTATTTAAGTTATTTATATTTCTAACAACATTCCAAATTTTTGTATTATCATTTCCAGCAGCTTTCAATTCATTTCTTTCATAATGATTCTTTCGTTTTTTTTTTTAATATATCATTACAAAAATTTCTGTACCGCTTATTTTAAGTACATTTTAAAATTTCATTTTGAGGATCTTTATTTAATTTATAATGCATTCTATCTCTGGTTCTTATACATCTTAATAAACCAACAGTTATCCAGGGTTTTATTGTGATTTTAGTTCGGGGTATTCTAATTTTTATTGAATTATTAACAATTATTTTTTGTATGTGTTCAATAATAAAGAGTATTGATTTATTTGGATTAAGTTCATTATTATATATCTCATTAAAATTTAGGTTTTTACAATTTTACAAATATGAAGATGTAGGTTATCGAAATTTAATTTATTAATAAATAATTTTTTCTACGTGGTAGAGCCATGCTGCAGCTATATTATGGTTGTAGCACGAATGGGTCGGCTCGACCGGGGAAGGACCACGCTCTCACAGAATACCATCGTAAAATAGTAGCTTAACGCTGCTGTGTTTCGTATGGTGAGTGTAGAGAACCGGTGACCCTTTTTACTGGAAACGAGGCATTCCATCTTAGTCCTCATGGGTGACAACGCATCTGCATTTTGATTCTTAATCGAAGATAGATGTAGATGTCTATGGGCCACAGCATCCACTTACCATCAGGTGGACTGTGTACTCGTTTGTCACCCTTATCCTATAAAAAAAAAAGAAAAAAAATTCAATTTTTATTGTAAATATTTTGTTTTATCGATTTAATGCAGAAAAGAACCGGTTCGTGGTCAGTAATAGAAGTTAATAAAATAAAAATACATGTGGGATATTTCGTTTTTAGAATTACATGGTCAAGACAGCTACCCCTAGTGGGATGATAATATGCCGGTATCATTCCGTAGAAAGCCAGAACTTCTAAGTAATTGGATGACAACGAATTAAGCTCAGCTTTACACATTCTTTATTTATGCAGAAAGTACAAAGATAAAGAAGCTGTTATCACCCTTAAAAACTACTGTGAAATCAGCCTGCTTATAATTGTTGGAAAACTGTATGCTAACAACTAAAAAATTTAGGATGTGCAAGCTGGATTTAGAAAACAAATAGGATGTATGGATAAAGTTGTTTTTATTTGCATAATCACAGAGAAGTTTGTGGCCATAACCAGAACATGTTCTGTGTATTTTAAACTTAGAGAAGGCCTATGAAGCCCGCTTTTCTCTATGGGATGTAATGTAATGTAATAAATATTATATCTCGAGATATAAATTAATATCAGTCATCATACTTTTTAATGGAACCGTTTACACTGAGATGTAATATATACATCTCATACTATAAATAGTTTTTCGATCAACCGAGCGATATTTTCATATTATATTTCGCCCCCTGTGCCCCGCACACCGTTCCGCACCGCCGCAGAACTTTGTGCGTGGTAAAGGGGGTAGTCCAATGACGAACGCACACTGGTTAAAAGATATATCTCACAGTGTGTAAGTTCAAATGTTCAATCGCGGGATATAATATCCTATGATGAAAAGCGAGTTTCACAGATTGGATAGTTTCTTTATGGCAAACACTGACCTCATTGGGGTTGAGTGCTAGGCTGACACAGGCATTTAAATCTTGTTATAAAGGGGCTCTAGTGATTGTGCTCAAATCAACAGAGCCTACACAGACTGGTTTAACATCCATAAAAGTAACAGACAGGGTTATGTAGCTTCCCAGTGGCTGTTCAATCTGTTTTTGGATAGTTCTTTAAAAACGGAAAGTCGAAGAATGGGTGAGTTAGCTGTCAAATGCCTCTTGAACGCCCACTATCAAATCTTCGGCAGTTTAGAGAGGAAATATAGAAAGAATGAATGATGAAAGAGTGATGCTACTGAAGTGGCAGATTCGGCAAGGGACACCCTAGAACACTGATGGCGAACCTATTGTTGGATCAGACTGACCCATGCAGATTATTTATTATTATTGGGTTATCTATAAACTTTTATTATTATTATTTAAATGACCTACGGGTTAATTTCGTAAATTTATTTTTTGTGTCATAAAAAAAACAGACAATCAAAAATATTAAAAAATAAAGTAAATTTTACAACAAGATTACTCAATAATTATACTTCAATTTTGTTATACAAACACAATAATATGTACCTGTAACTAAATCTATAAATAAATAATACTCCTTAATATGTGATTTTCTTTGTTCCTTGTTCATTAAAATATTCAGTGCAGGGGCAACTGGATATTTTGTTGTAGCACAGAATAAATAATAGTTAAAAGAACAGAAGGCTCACTCTCTGATAGCAAACTTGCGAGTTTTAACTTAGTTACAACATTGCTAATGTTCATAATCTTTCGATAAAACTAGCGCCATTCTCAACGCGTGCGTTCACCGTTCAGCGAGACGTACACTCTCATCAACTCTCATACTGAACGGCAGGCGTGTGTGTACTGTGTAGAGACAGCTCCGATATTGCTCCGATCGCTGTACTCCCTAGATTGCCCTTGCGGCAGGCATGTCAGTCGCCACCTTTAGCCTACAATTTATTTCGTCGAAATAAAAATTTTGTGGCGCGCGTATTAAATCAAAATGCACCTTACGTCCACGTGCGAGTGTGTGTATCACTTAGCCCCTTACGCGCCTTTATTAAGACCGCTTCTACTGTAAGGGTTAGGGGTTGAGAAAACAGAAAACAAATTGAATTCTTTGATTTTAGTTGGTATATAGTAGAATACACCGAGGTGTTATTGAATGTATTAGTATTTCTATTTTTTTATTTTGTTAAAGAAACATTACACTCCTGTATTGTGGAGGCAGTTAACAAACATACATTGCACAAGGACAAACATCTAGACCCGGAACAATTATTTGTAGGCCATACAAATAATTGTTCCGTGCGGGATTCGAACCCGCGGCCCCAGTAAACTCATTGCTAAGCCACTGCGCCACGGATCCATCAATTTGCTGATAATAAAAACTTTATTGTTTAATGTGAGGAAGGTTAATTTGCAACATCTAGGAAAATTAAGATTATAACAACGTCAACGCCTTTGAAACTCAGATAATTTACTTACTTACCATTTTAACCGACTTCAAAAAGGAGGTATTCAATTCAACGGTTTTTTTAATGTTCTAGGTGAATCGATTTTGATGATTATATTTTTATTTGAAAGCTGGTGCTTATAATTTATACATCCCGTATAAATTTGATCACGATTAAGTTAAAAATATAATTTTAATCTTAAAATCAAACAGCGCTCCAGGCTGGGCCAATATCCCCAATGACTTCATGAAATTGGCAGTCAATGACTTGGCTCCTATTATTTCTCACTTAACTAATCTATGTTTCGATACAGGGATATTCCCTGCACCATTAAAGCAGTCTATTATCACGCCTGTGCACTAGGGCGGAGACAGAAATGACATTGGTAATTACAGACCAATTTCCGTTCTGCCAGCAATATCTAAAATTCGGGAAAAGTTACTTAATATTAGATTACTCAACTACTTAAATAAATTTTATATATTAGTACCCACACAGTTTGGCTTCAGACAAGGAAGATCGACAGAAGATGCAATTCTTGAATTAAGCACATTTGTAACAGAACAATAATTCGACCACAGTAAAAAATGTTTGTCGGTCTTCCTAGATCTGAAAAAGCATTCGATACCATCTCTGTCACTACGCTTATGCACAACCTTGAAAAAGTTGGAATAAGAGGGACCCCGCTTGCTCTTTTGGGGGACAAACGAGCACACAGTCCACCTGATGGTAAGTGGTTGCTGCAGTCCATAGACATCTACATCTATCCTCGTTTGCGAATCAAAATGCAGATGCGTTGTCACCCGTGAGGACTAAGATGGAATGCCTCATTTCCAGTAAAAAGGGCCTCCGGCCACCTGCACTCACCAAGCGAAACGCAGAGGTAAACCTCTACTTCACGCTGGTATTCTGTGAGGTCGTGGTACCACCCCGGTTCGAGCCAGCCCATCCGTGCGATAGCAAATGCTGCCGCGTGGCTCTACCAATGTTAGACCTACCTGTCACCTACCTATCAGAGAGAAAACAAAAGGTAAAGCTTCCCTGGGTTCACTAGTGGGGATGCGGGGTGTCATCATATGGCGTGCCACAGGGTAGCGTTCTGGGGCCAACCTTATTTCTGATTTATATCAACGACCTGTGCAGTACGACCATACCAAATGCTAAAATCCTGTCGTACGCCGATCACACCGCTGTGGTTTTTGCTGGTGAATCTTGGGAGGTTGTCAAGACTAGTGCTGAAAGTGGTCTAGTTCGAGTCGCTCTGTGGTTGCAAATAAATCTCACTCTAAATACAGCTAAGACAAATTTTATTTGCTTTAGCATTACTAACAACTCGCAACCACAGACTGACTTTTGCCTTAAAATTCATACATGTACTGAGGATGCTAAAAACAAAGCTTGCGACTACCCATCAATTGAAAAAGTATCTCACACTAAATATCTCGGCGTTGCTGTAGATCAGAGGCTATCGTGATACCCACACCTGGAGCATGTCATCCACAGAGTACTTCAAATTATTTAAATTGATTTGGATATTCAAAACCCTAAGACACGTAATACCAGATAATACTAAACAGTCGGACTCTCCCAGATATCTTCTAAGCCAAATATACATATCCCTTGCACAATCTATCATAACGTATTGCATTCCGGTGTGGGGTGGAACTGCAAGACCCAATTTCTTAACTTGGAAAGAGCCCAACGAATCCTTCTTAAGGTCATGTAGTTTAAAAAAAAGATGTTTTTCCACTGAAAAACTGTATCAAATAAGTGGTCTACTCTTAGTTAGACAATTATACGTTACTATGACAACCCTCAAAGCACACAAATCCCTGCCCTTTGACCCATGCATCTTGTAAAAGCGGCGAAAAGATGTTGTGGCTGTGTCTTCTGGTTCCAAAACAGTGTTAGTAGGCAATTTAGCTCACGTTCTGCATTCCTATATAATATAATAAATAGAGAATTAAACATATACGACAAAACGTACAAGGAGTGTAAAAACCTTATACTAAAATGGGTGCAGTCGAAAACATGACGAAACTGAATTTCTGATGGAACGCATTTCATAATTCGCTGTTCTTTACAATATATAACATAATAACGTTGCCATGTAGTGGCGGTTAAGAATATCCACTACCCCATAATATCTTCCGTGGGTGTCGTAAAAGGCGACAAATGGAAACAGGCAGGAGATGGGCAGCAGCATCTTCCTGATAACAGCATAATTAGAATAAAAAACTGCGGTTGCCAACGCTCGCCAAGCGTGGCAGCTATGGCAATATACCCCCCATGAGCAATGAAAATAATAAACGGCCCCCAGTCCCCGGCGGCCCCGCCATTCCTGGCTACGGTGGCGACCATGGTAACGGCGGGGCCGGGGGTGCTAAGAATCTCCGGTGGAGGTTCGGTTGCCACCTAAGACGACTCGACCTGGCAACATACAACGCACGCACCCTGAGGACTGACGAGAAGATCGTGGAGCTGGAAGAAGAGATAGACAAGTTACGCTGGCATATTACAGGATTATCCGAGGTCCGAAGAGGGGGAGGACACGGTAATCCTCGAATCCGGTAACTTGCTCTATCACTGGGAGGGCGACCATCTGTCCCAAGGAGGTGTCGGATTTATCGTCCACAAGTCTCTCGTTAACAACGCTGTAAAAAGTGAGAGTGTGTCGACGAGGGTTGCGTACCTTATACTCAGAATCACCAAACGGTATTCGCTGAAGGTCATACAGGTTTACGCACCAACCTCGGCACACCCCGATGAGGAGGTGGAGGAAATGTATGAGGATATCTCTAGAGCCATGCATGCACAAGAGAGAACGGTGAGCTGAAAATAGGGAAATTTGGAATAGGGCAACGGAACCCAAGGAGCCTGCACCTGGCCGACTTCATGTAGAAAGAGGGACTCTTCATGATGAACTCTTTCTTCCAGAAGCGGCCCCACAGGAAGTGGACATGGTCGAGCCACGACGGTTCGACAAAAAATGAGATTGACTTCATTATGACGACCAGACGACAACTCTTTTGCGTGGTAGAGCCATGCTGCAGCTATATTATGGTTGTAGCACGAATGGGTCGGCTCGACCGGGGTAGGACCAGGCTCTCACAGAAAACCAGCGTAAAATAGCAGCTTAACACTGCTGTGTTTCGTATGGTGAGTGTAGAGAACCGGAGACCCTTTTTACTGGCAAAGAGGCATTCCATCTTGGTCCTCACGGGTGACAACGCATCTGCATCTTGAGTCTTTATTGAGGATAGATGTAGATGTCTATGGGTCACAGTAACCACTTACCATCGGGTGGACTATGTGCTCGTTTGTCACCCGATCCTATAAAAAAAAACTGTTCAGTGATGTCTCAGTGATCGCGAGGGTAAAAACCGATAGCGATCACCGAATGGTTAGAGGCACACTGAACCTAAACGTTAAGTTGGAGAGATCTCGTCTAATGAAGTCAACGCTCCGTCCCCCTCGTGCTCTATTCCAGAGCCCCGAAACCTTTCAGCTCGAGTTACAAAACCGTTTTCAGTGCCTAGAAGACTGCAATGATGTGGACGATATGAATGACAAGCTCGTGGAAACTGTCCATGCGGTCGGAGCTAAGTTCTGCAAGACCCGCCGCAGAAGAACACCAAAACTCTCCGATCATACTCTTAATCTCATGGCTGTTAGACGGGAGATGAAGCTGCATTCTTCAACAGATATGACAGCATACAGGCAACTGAACAGACAGATCTCCAATTGCATGCGGCGGGACTTACGTAACTTCAATACAGCTTGTATTGAAGAAGCGATCGAGCGGAACCAAGGCTCCAAAGTCTTTGCACGAGATCTGTCTGCCAGAAAGAGCCAACTGTCAAAGCTGAAGACCGAATGTGGCAGCATCGTTTCCGGGACACCTAAGATTTTGAGTGAGATTGAGAGGTTCTATGGGCAGCTGTACAACACATCATTGTTGGAGCCACACGCAAGTGTGAGTAACGATCCAAGAGCGAGTCTTATCCGACACTATTCCGAAGATATCCCGGACGTCAGTCTGAGCGAGATTAGAATGGCTCTCCAGCACCTTAAAAACGGCAAGGCCCCAGGCGAGGATGGAATTACAGCGGAGCTTTTGAAAGCGGGTGGAAAACCGG